TTTTTTTTTCTTTATTTTTTGATTCTTCTCTAATCACCTTTCCATCCCAATCCGCTTTTCTCATCCCCATTCCTTTCTCATTCCTTTGCCTTTCCTCTCCAAAACTACTATCAAAGGTACAAAATTTTTTATAATTAGCGATATAAAATTCAGTAAAAATTTGTTTCCTTTTTCTATCCCCAAATTATCATTTTCAAAAAAATTTGTTTCATTGTTCTGCGCTATGAAATTACACATTTTATTTCTTCAATTTTTTTTTTTTTTTTTTTTCATTTTTCAACTCTCACTCCATACTGTATTCGTCAAATTCTGTGAAATGTTTTTTCAGTGTATATTCGACTATTAATATCAATGATTCATGTTATTGTCCCCCTATATTTTCAAATTTAGCATGATTAGTAAAACGATTATCATTAGTATTGCATCAAATTCTTTGACAATGGTTTCAACAGTGCTAATGATGACAACAATTTATAAATGTAAGTAAAATCTTACTGCTTTATCAACAGACCAACACTGACTATTACTGTCAGCAACAGTTCGATGCGTTTCTTCAACCACATTTTCAGCATTAATCATCGTTGACAGACGCCGTCGATTTGCAGCAATTTTTCTCATTTGCCTTAACATAATATTCATAGTTAATAGAAAGAATTACATTTTTCTATAAGTTTTTTTAAGACATTAAACAAAATCTTTTAAAACTATACTTTCAAAAAAAATTTTTTTTTTTTACTATTACCATAAATTCCATTACTTTCTGCTTAATAAAAAAGTTAATGTATTTTAACTGGAACAACCAGAATAATGTATTATGAGAAGATACTGCTTAGTTGTATGTGTTTACGGTGCGATAGCGAATTACAGTGACAACAAGGACAATAACTATAGCAAAAAGTAGAAAAAAAAAAGTTAAAAAAGTTACTTCAACTTACCTATGTTCATCAAGAATTCCCATATAATTGACAACTGCATATTCAATTAGTGATGCAAATATAAACACTGTAAATTAAAAACAGGTAATATTAAAAAGTAAATTTATATAAAGGAACATTCGTATTCTTGATAATAATAGTTGAACTTCATCATCTTTCTTTTGCCCAAC